TACCTCTTTTCTAGTAGTGATTCTTCAACTACTCCAACTTCTTTTGACTCTTGTGAGAAATTCATGAATTTATATTCTTTCGTCAATGATGTATGTGGTGTGATATTTATTAACTCATGCAATTATTAGAGTTTAGACTGTGGTACATCTAACTACATTACTAGTTATAAGAATAATTTTATACAATTGCATCCTTTATTCACATATAATTATGCAAAAATTCCAAATGAAAAACTCATCTCTATACGTGGTAGTGGACAAGCATTTCTACCTCATAATATTACCATTGATAATCTTTTATACATATCTAAAAAAATTTATATTTAATCTTATATTTGTGAACAAAGTTAAATCATGTTGTGATTTTCTTACCAACATTTTGTGTTTTATAGAACCTCAAAACAAAAAGATTGATAATTAGATTAGGTGAAATGAGAGATGGTTTTTATTATGTCAAGCCAATCAAGAATACTCCGACTTTAAATGCTATTGTTTCATCTTTTATGAAACTTTGGCATCAAAGATTGGGACATGCCTCATTGGATCATATTAAATTATTATCTAAAGGTATCCCTATTAACACTCTCTTCCTGACTATTGTAATGCTTGTTATCGAGCAAAACAAATTAGAAGTATTTTTCCCATTAATTATAAATATGTTGAAAGTCCTTTTTTCTCATACATTGTGATATTTGAGGGAGATAAAATACTCCTTCACACTTAGAGGCACATTATTTTTTCACTATTGTTGATTATTACACTCAATCGACACGGGTTTTTCTTATGAAATACAAATATGAAGTTTATTATTACTTAATCATATTTGTTAATATGATCAAAATACAATTTGAATTTCAAGTTAAACAAATGCATTCAAATAATAGCCAAGAAATACTTTCTAACTCTTTGTAGACTTTTTTCCAAGAGCAGGGAATCATATATCAAACCTCTCGTGTACATACACCCCAACAAAATGGAGTTATGGAGAGAAAACATTGGCATCTCTTGAATATTGCTCCAGCCTTGCGCTTTCAAGCAAATTTGCACATCTTTTTTGTCACGCCCCAAAACCCAAATTCGAGGCGCAACAGACGCCGTGCACTCATGAGACGGGTCCCACAAATGCACAAAGCTCGGAACTTATCATATCACACTCTGATACCATCACAATCTGAAGATCAAATCTTTAAAATTCTCTCTAATATCATAAAATCTCCAAATACAAGATCATGATTTGTTTCTAAAATTTCATATCCAATTACAATATGGCTAGCCTTCTAACTCGTCACTTCCCGTGGTTTCCTTGTCCTCGGTTTCACATCCTGAAATGGTGGACAAGGAAAAACTATGAGATAAACTCAGTAAGTAAATATGGAGTGCCCCTTATCAAACTTAAAGCATGCCAACAAGTACAATCACGAAAACAGATACAGTACGGGCACGAAATAGACGTCTCCTCTATAGGTCACGGCCAGCGTTTATAAACCTCCCACTGGCGGGCACATGAGTACTAGTGTATAATCCCCACTAGTAGGGCCACGAGCGAACCGGTTCTATCACGAACATGTCGACATGTGCTAGCGTTTATAAACCTCCCACTAACGGGCACACGAATAACATGACCATATCGGAGACAAAACAAGCAGAAGTTAACAGGAAAATCACAATTCACAATCACTTTCAGATCATCACGACAGTCACTTAAATTTCAAGTAGGCATACTCAATTTAATGAAAAGCATAAAACATTTCACTTCAAATCAGTCATGCTCGTGTAAAACGGGTTTAGTCCCGCCACCACTTCAAAAACAAATCAAAACATGCTTTTAAAACAGTACGGGCATTACCATAAATTTACTTATCTCACTCGCATAAAACCGAGCACTCAATTCACGCACTAAACTGACAGAACGATCATAAACCTAATCAAAACATCCAAGAATTAATACCGGACTATCACAAATTCAAGCTGAAATCATCTTTAGGATCATTCCTAATCACAATGCTATTTCTATCACTTTCCACATGATCGAACATCTCCACATTCGTTCTTATATCACAAACTAATCATTTAAATCCCCGTTAATTGTTGGCCCTCGGTGTGTGAACAGTGTCGGTGAACAATACCCGTGAACAGTACCCCGACGTGAACAGTAACTGCACACCCAAAAGTTGGCCAAAACACTAGCTAATCCCACGGGATTTTCTCAAAAAATCACACAGTAGTTAATTAACACTCAATCACATAAATCCTACTTCAATTAAGCTAAAACATGGTCCTAAAGCTACCGGAATTATCCCCCATTTTAGCCAAATTCGAACATCACAAAGCAGCAACCTTAAATGGATAATTTAAGCCTTAAATGGCTGTCACATACCACAATTTAGCAAGCAAAACCGAGCTGCAGTTTGGGAGAGAAGCCGACGGCAAGTGCAGGGAAGAATCACGCAATCTACCCAAAAATTGAAGGAAATAAGAGCAATCAAAGTTAACCCAAGCCAATTCAAGCAAGAACAAAGGGATTTAATGGCTGTTTCTTACCCAAAACCCAAGCAATTCGCCCCCACAACAAGAGCAGCCGACGGACAGAGCAAAGCAGAGCAGATCCGGTTTCTGCATAGAGGAAGGGGAAATTTCTGGGTTCTTTATGGGTTCTAGAACAAGAAAGGAAGGGGAAAATACCAAGCTTCCTTACCAATTTTCCAAGGCATGGCTGGGTTTCCCTTTTTTTTTTCTCTTCGGGTGGCTGCAGGGGGAAGACAAGAAGAAGAGCAGAACACACGGGCTGGAAGAAGAAAAGAAAGAAAGAAAAAGATAAAGAAAAGAAGTTGATCCTTATCCAAAATCTTTCCCTCTTTAAGTCCCTCACTCACACTTAAATATTCCTGAAAATTTGGGATATTACACTTTTGGAGAGAATGCATCCTGACAACAGCTCATTTGATAAATTATACTCCTACACCGTTACTTGAGAGCAAAACACCTTTTGAGCTTTTTTTTTTTGGTAATGTACCTTCACATAATCACCTTAAAGTTTTTGGTTGTTTATGGTATGCAAAAGATCTCTTGCAATCTATAAATTCTCTTCAATTATTTTTATTAGTTATCCCCATGGTAAAAATGGATATTATGTTTTTGATCTTGATACAAAAAGAATATTTATTTCTTGTGATGTTATTTTTTTATGAAGATGTCTTCCTATTTTAGCATACTAATTCACAACCACATGATAAGTGAAAAAAGTCCATACCTCCAATGATTTTTGATGATGATGCAGTCAATATTCAATTGGAAAATCAAGACTTGAATAGTGCAAATAAACAGTAACATCAAGACTTAAATAGTGCAAATGGACAGTAACATCCAATGGGACTGTTGGAGACACAAAATCTCATCTTAGACATGTAATAGGACACTTGCAAAACACCTACCACTACATAAAAAAAGCTACAATAATGCAAGACATTGCAAATGCATATAATGGCATTGATAGCCAAGCAGTTACAAACTGAAAAATTGCTAAAACATCAAATGGTAACCATCACACTACACCTTTAATAATCCTATTACTTCTTCAAAACATGAGCATTCATCACGACCTTAACGTGAGAGAAAGAAACATACTTATCTCAATGATTACATTTTGAATGGTTTTTAAACATATATGAATAATTCCTCTACCTGAACATCGAGTGCATCGTATTGTATTTTTCGTTTTATTACATATGATAAATTTAGCACCATTCATTGCTCTTTTTTAGCGACCATCTCTAAAGAAGAGGAACCAAAATCTTTTTCTCAAGCCATTTGAGATCCTAAATGGAGACAAGCAAATGGAAGTTGAAATAGTTGCCCTCAAGAAAAACAATACATGGACTTTAGAGAAACACCCCCCTAACAAACAACCCATAGGTTCTAAATGGGTTTATAAAGTCAAGTATAATGCTGATGGTACTATTGAAAGATATAAGGTACGCCTTGTTATAAAAGGGTTCAGTCAAGTTGAAAGATTAGATTATTATGGCATGTTTGCACCTTTAGCTAAACTAGTTATGGTTCAATGCCTACTAATTGTTGTTGCAGCTCACAATTGGGAGTTACACCAGTTGCATGCTAAGAATGCCTTCCCTCATGGATATCTTTGTTTACATACCACCATCATAATAATTTTCTTGCTGTTTTAGAATATGTTGACAATTTAATCATTGCATGAAACAATTCCTACCTTACAAAAAATTGAAAGATTTTCTCCATGCCCAATTCCACATCAAGGACTTTGGCGAGCTCAAATACGTAGAATTGAAGTAACTCACCATCCTTCGAGAATTTTTCTTTATTAAAGAAAATATTCTCTTGACATCTTGATTGAATCAGGGATGCTTGGTGCTAAGCCTTGCTTATTTACCATGGAGCAAAAGCTAAAGCTCATCCCAAAAATAGGTGTTGTGCTGTCTAACCCAATGCAATATCAAACACTTGTTGGGCAACTCATTTATTTAACAATAACAAGTCCAAAAATTTCCTGTGGTTTTCATATACTTAGTCAATTCATGCAAGATCCCAAACAATCTTATTCTTGATGTAGCAATGAGGGTATGTTGCTACCTTAAATCTTCATCTAGTCAAGGAATTTTCCTTTCTTCAACTAGTTCACTACAACTATAAGCTTTTTTGTGATTTTGGTTAGGCAAGTTGTTCAACTATAAGACAGTCTACAACAACCTATATCACCTTCCTTGGCACATCCCCAATCTCATGGAAAACAAAGAAACAATCCATTGTATCTCTATCATCTACAGAAGCTAAGTATAGAGCCATGGCCTCCATAGTTAAGTGAACTCCTATGGCTCAAAGGCTTGTTACACACCTTAGGAGTCTACCATTCTCAACCAACAAAGCTATATTGTAACAACCAAGTAACGCCTCACATTGCTACAAATCTAATTTTTCATGAACGAACAAAGCACATTGAACTTGATTGTCATTTCATTTAGCACTAGATACAAAAAGGAGTTATTTCTACTTCCCATGTTCATTCAAGTCTTCAACTCACTGATATTTTCACTAAGCCATTGGGAGGTGACCAATTCCAATTTCTTCTCTTGCAAGTTAGGTATTACTGACTTACATGCTCCAACTTGAAGGGGATATTAAAGAAGGAAGCAAACTCACCACTAATAACATAGCCATTATCTATAATTAGTTTCTTTTTTGTAATTAGCCATTAGCCTTATTTCCTTTCCTTTTTGTATTTTTTTGTTGCCTAAGATTAAGCTAATTCTTAGACTTATCTTATTTGGCCACATTAGCCTTGTATATTGTACAGCCTCTTGATTAATTTTATGGAGATATGACATATTTTCTCATATAATTTTATCCTTTTCTCACATAGGAAAAGATTATCACTAAATTTCTGACTTCATTGGCCAATCATCTTCCTAATCAAAAGTTGTCCAACTTAGTAAAAAATTGTTAAGGTGTACATCACTCAAAAATTTTAAAATATCAAAGGAATTTAAAAGTTGGCACATCATTCTTTTTAACTTAAAAATATAATCATATCAACAATTTTAAATACGTGAAATTCAAAAGAAGATGAGTTTTTCAAAATTATATACGGCATCATATGTAATCGACGAGACAATAAAAAAATGTAATTTATAAAGGGAAGAGGTAAAAAAATTGCTAAAAATAGTTCAAAAATTAAAAACATTTAAAAATAAAAGTTTAAAACCCTTAACAGATTAGCATCAAAACATTATAATTTGATTAATTAAAAAAATTTTCTCTCCCTTTCCCCTTTAGTCCATTCTCCTCAACTAAAACATATGATAAATTCACAATTAACCTTTTTAAAACCCATGTTCTTACCAATTTGGGCATGCTTACAAAATAAAAAAATAAAATAAAAACTCCCCTTTTCCCCATATTCTTTTGCAATTTTTCTTTCCTTTCATTGTATGGATGGACATACAAGGGTGACCATTTTCGGGTATAGGTCAAGTATGAGCTATTTTTGGTATTTGACTTGAAAATTTTTGGGTATGGCTTTTTATTGAAAATTTTCGAGTATAGCTTTTTAAACTTAGTACTTACCCAAATACTTGAAAACCTATAGTTGATACTTAACCAAACAGGTATCAAGTAATTTGCAAGGATATACTTATATACTTGTGTCACGCCCCAAAACCCAATTTCGAGACGCGACAAACGTCGTGCACTCATGAGACGGGTCCCACAAATGCACAAGGCTCGAAACTTATCATATCATACTCTGATACCACCAAAATCTGAAGATCAAAGTATAAAATTCTCTCTGATATCATAAAATCTCCAAATACAAGATCATGATCTATATCTCAAATCTATATTCACTTTACAAAATGGCTAGCCTTCTAACTCGTCACTTCCCGTGGTTTTCCCGTCCTCGATTTCACATCCTGAAATGGTGGACAAGGAAAAACTATGAGATAAACTCAGTAAGTAAATATGGAGT